TAAAGTCAAATTTTATGCTTTTGAGTCCCCTTCAGGTTTAATTTCTTATTTATTTATTAGCATCATATATATCTATGTTTTAATTCCTCCTCCCCCAGAAAAAAGGGTGTGGCTAGCCACACTAATCACCCCCTGGATCCGCCCTTGTATTGCGTAAAAACAACTAGTACTGTCGAGATCGTGATAAATTGATTGTATGCTTRAAGGCTATCATCATGGTAACATTCTACTTGTGACTGATTTCAGAGACCTGTACCGACCTTCAAAGTTTATCAAAAACTCGAGGCGGTGGACAAGCGTAACCCGTCATTAATACGCTCTGCAACTGTGGCTCAGATACTAGATTATCGAGTACGTGTGCACTTTGATGGTTGGGATGATGTATATGATGACTGGTTTGATGCCGACTCTACTGATCTCCACCCTGTTGGCTACTGCGAGAAGACTGGCCACCCACTTGAACCTCCATTAAGTAAGACGATGGAAATGTGACTTTGAATTTTTTTAGAGGCGCAGAGAAACGCGCTTCATGGGAAAAAAATATTGACATGTCTTGAGTTATGCTTTGAAATKTATCTTTGAGATATTATAAATTTCTATGGTTGACACCCCCATTTGAAGTACGTAGGATCCTTATGTGGTAGTCTGTTTATGCTTCATTCAAACTTGTTTATTTTRATTACATCATTAGCAACAGCAGATAAAATCTCATCGGTTGCCTGCCCCACCCCAGGATGTAAAGGGATTGGTCACGTGAAGGGTGCTAAGTATTCTAGTCATCACAGCACGTTTGGATGTCCGTATTCACTTCAAAACCTGAACAAGGAATCCTGTCTKGTAGACCGACTGTCTACAAACTCCATGACTGAAGAATCCGACTGGTCGTACGCCAGCAAGAATAAGACGACCACTTCAAGCGGCAAACGCGGTACGAACTAATCTAATCAAACATTCAGTCAATCAGATTTCAGACAATGAATCGTGGATSTATCAATCCGTCAATCAATCAGTCAGTCAATGTATCAAAATCAGTCATAATCAATCGACACTGACGAATGAATAAACCCATCCTAGCATAGCAACCTAATCAACCGACACTGACAAATGAATAGACCCACCCTAGCATAACAACCAAATCAATCTATTAACATGTTATAATTCGTGTTTTTTTTTTCAGGAGACAGTGTGTCATCGATTGAAACTGTATGTCCAACTCCTGGTTGTGATGGAACTGGTCACATCAGTGGGCACTGGAGAACTCATCAAAGGTATACTAGTTATTGTTTTGTTGTTTATACATATATAGTACTCTATTTATAGGGGTTGATCTAGGGTATTCTTCAGGGAGGGATGAAGGGCTCACTAGGAGGGCATGCGCTCTATAAAAAATTGCCACAAAAGGATATACATAATAAGGGAATATAAAAGGRGGCAAGGTCGTAGAAGGGGGTGAGCAACCCCTGTACCCATCAGCTTGCCAATCCTCCTATATCCGTCTTATTTTTGCTGCGCCATCTACAAAGATAGCTTTGCTATAAACGATTCAAGTATCAAATTWACACTCAATTTGTATATCAATATTTTAGTTCTGCTGGCTGTCCAAAAAATGAGGCCAACATCATCAAAATACCCCGACCCCCTATTCCAATACAACCAGCTCCCCTCAAGGAGACATCAACGTCTTCCAAGAAAAAGGTCGCAGCTACTATAGTAACGAATAATGCGTCATCTAAACTATCCAATGCGAATACAGCGTCAGTTGTGAGGTAAATGGATTGAATAATGTCGAAGTTGCTTTATCATTGACAGTTCGCAATGGGCTCTTGTTGCAAGTGAAGTGAAAGCAACTTCTCTGTAAAAAGCAAAAGACGTTAAAAATTGTTTCGTTCCACAGGCGCCAGAATAAAGACAYCAAAAAAGAAAAGTCAACAGACAAGATGCCATTTAAACGTAAGAAAACAGTTGTCTTTTCAGACTGGTCCCTTTTCCTCGAAGAAGAATTTTCTAAATACCCTGCAGTTTTTAAGTCGTGGAAAACGTCATTTTCGTACTGATGATATTCTCAGGTTAAAACCGCTTCTCAGTTCCCTCGTTCGACTAGCTGTATAGTAAGAGATGTTACAACAACAAGACGCATTGCGATAGTTGTTGTGGTTAGCTGGTCACCCTCGATAATTATGTTTTATTTGTTTATGCTCGAGTATAATGGCTGAAAAACAACATTAAACACAGCAACTCTTATAAGTCTTCTTCTCGTCATATTGTGTGGAAATATAATTGAGAAGCATTTAAGGTTCATGAAACTATACAATTAATTTTTCTGACTTTGTCATGGCAGAAATTACACCTAAAGTGGAACCACAGCCAAAAGAAAAATTGAGCCAACAAACAACTGTGAGCTACCCGCAGTGGAAAGAAACTAGTAACTTTGAACAAGCTCTGCCAGTACAACCAGCTAACGAAGCACGGAAAAAGTCACGTGAGCGTTTGCGTATGAGCAAATGGAGTATCGATGACGTAGTGAAGCACGTGAAATCGTTAGGATGTACGGAACAGGCAAAACTATTTGAAGAACAGGTAAACGAATTGAAAACACAGTGAAAACAAACCGACTTAACGGATTACAAACGCAAACACAAACGCAATGTATCTGGAAATGAAAATTACTAGTGCCAGCCATGTGCTTTGTCCCATTTCCATTAAGGCGGAATTCGAATAAAAGCGTCATGTGGAATCCAAGGATTTCCAGTATTACATTACAAAGAAGCAATCAGTTTTCACATGACATTTGTATCTCTGCTTATATTTGGTATCAGTCAGCTTTCTCTTAGCTTTCGCTTGGGTTTGCGTCAAAGTCGTGAAAATCAGGCCAAAGCAATTGTGTAAAACATTTAACTTTTTTTAACTTTTTTTTTTTTTACTTTTAACTTTTTTTAAAAAGACTATCAGCGAATAGATGAAATCATAAATTATAGATAATGGGGAGATATGTTGGAATTATTGATAAATACTAAAAAGGTTGAATATTTTTGCTTTCATTTCTTTCGCAGAAAATCGACGGTGAATCTTTTCTTCTCCTRACACAAAACGACATCGTTAATATTCTCAAAATCAAGTTGGGTCCAGCACTGAAGATCTTCAAAAGCATTCCTAAAGTTTGACAAGGGACGCAATCGTATAGAAAACATTATGKCARTTCCAATTCAATGTAGATACGAAAGCATGTCATTATGCTAATCTTTGAATCACCGTTTCTTTGCGTTTAGCTTTCCACAACAAAATTTCTGTTATGAAACGATGGAAATGAACGTTTATATTTCTAAACGAAAATCAATGAAAACATTTTGAAAGAAAAATAAATTAAAGTGTATATTTTTACTAAAATATTTTCATAAAAAGTGGMAGGGTGATTTATATCCCCGTTTATAAACTCCACACGTTTCCGGATCTTTTGGAAGTTCTRATTTCGAAAAATCCGGTTACRTGTGGACAAGACGTTTGATTTCAATATATCCATCGTTGTTGTTTATGGTATTCGTAATTATTATTTGATATTTTSAGAAAACTATTGACAACCTTTATATTCAAGACGTTGTAAGCGGCAATRCCTTTTCGATTTCTGTGTCTATTTGACAAAACTATTTTTGAGTTACAAAAGATAGCATTTTATATGTAATGTTTAAAAGGTCGACAATATTTTTGCACATAGAATCATGATTTTCATCAATAATATGTAGATATATAATTTTGTACAAAGTTTGGATATTAACTATGTTAATGTTTACGATTAACAAATGAATAATAAAATATATTTTTGTATTGCGATTTTGTTTTGGATTTGTTTCTTTTTCGCAGTCTTGCTCGGTCTTCCTGTGCTACTTATGGCGTCACATGCCAAGATTTGAATGCTATGCGTACTTTCTTTTGTAATGTAATTAGTCTTAATTTTATCTCCAGAAGAATTACAGATCTAACTATTAACATTGCAAAAGAGCCTTGTAATAAGATGTCTCTATGTCACACTATAGAGTATTGTTAGGGACTGCGCAGTAATTATCAGGAGGGGGAGGTTGAGAGTCCATCTAATCTAATTTTATGTGCTTAAAGAGGTGTGGCAACGCCTAGAATTAACTAGAACTTTAATTGAAAACTGAAAACTCAACGGTGGCAGATTCTGATTGAAGTGGAAAACGAAGAAAAGCGTGCCACGATTAGCGACAACTCTTTATTTATGGGGGGGGGAGTAATTATTTTTTGGCTCATTTCTCACCACCCCCCTCTCCTGCTGATAAATATTGCGCAGTCACTTATTCAATGTTTCCATTGCTCTTAATATGATAGACAAGTTTGAGGATAAGGGCTCAGTACAAATAAACGGTAAAAAGGTCTTTTACAATCTCAACAAGAACTACACAATTTCTACAAAAGTCTTTATTTTTACTCCAGCACAGTTTTATAAAATGCGTTATTTTGTTGTTGTTGTTATTTAATATTTTCTTAGATAAATGTTTATTTTATAAAGATGAAACCTGATAATATATTCTGTAAGGTCTTGACGTGACTGGAGTTGTAGCACCTAAACCCGTGAAACACTAAATAATAGTGTGTAAAACAAAGAAAAACAACCAAACTATACTAACTTATTGTCTACTATTCTTTTTCACGGGTTGAGTTGTTCCACTTAAAGCCGTGAAACATTAAACATTAGTGTGATAATCCGTGTATTACTGACTACTATTTCACGCGTTAAGTGTTACAACTCGCCAACAGTTGAATTCAACGAGAACTCTTTGCGGCAGAGAATTCCGCACTGCGCTTCAAATACCGAGGTGGAATTCAACGCTTAACGTTAGCTAATTTATAACATGTACTTGCAAACTTTCGGCTGCCGCTCACCACAAGGCTGAGGTATCCGATTTTCTCATAAATTTGTTTTTGGACGAATCAAAAAGCAACTTTCAATAAAATGTTTTTAAAAAAGCAAACGGTTGCAACGATTTTCAGATGCACTTATTTACAATCATGCAGCAATAACAAGTCCAAGTCAAAGAAGAAGTCTGCTAATGCTTTGGGATGCTGTTGAATATCTTCAAAGCAGGTCCAAGTTTTATATTCATAATATTAACAATATCAGACTGGGTTAGAAGAAGAAAAGCTTCGCCATCAATTTCCTGAAAAAATAAATCGTTAAGAAGTAAGAAGACGTTAAGAGTTGTCATGGAGATACGTATAAATTTACCCAGTGTTTCTTTTCGTTTTAGTCAAGCGGGGAAAAGTCCGACTTGTTGCGGCAACATTCAACCAAAAACCTGTATTTTAACCTACCTGTTGAACAAACAGCTTGGCCTGTTCCGTGCATCCCAATGACATGACATGTTTTTCAACTTGCTCTGTTGTCCATTTCCCCATGGCAATTTTTTCTTTAGAAGGGGTGTCGTCGTTTAATGAGTAGTAATCTCTTCGACCATTCACTGGTAACTTAGCAAAACCGTACCCCCAGGAGGGGTAGTATGGGGACACGTATTGTATACCTTTTTCAACAACTGTTGACAAAAATAAATAACTTGATCAACGTTTGGACTTCATTGACAGCGACAGGACATCGTCGTTCTTACATTTTGTTTTTACTAACGATGGCTTCTCTTCTTTATAACTGTGCCGTCTGAAACGAGATAAAGATAATCAAGATTTTTCTATTATTATTACGRTTATCTTGTTGTTCAATACAACCACCTCAATAGATTGCGACCTATTTCCATATAATAGGCACCTAWGGGGCGTTTGCAAGGGGTTTCCAGGAGTCCTGGAATCCCCCGGCATGAAGCCTTTTCATTTCAACATTAACGACACTTCAAATTCACGTACAGCAAATCTGTATCCAAACAGCTAGTCAACCTACCTTGCGTTAACTCTTGCATTGCAGCAATTAGGCGAATGATGACTGGTTGAGAAACTTGATGACGTACTAGATGACGTCATTTTTGTTGAATAAGACGGAGTCGASCGATGTATTGGTCGTTTATGAATCGATAAATCGTTGTTTGTCGTAACTGAAGACCTAAAGATTAATACCAGTCGACAATTATTCATATAAAACAACAGGAAATAGTATGAAAAAGACGCAAAAATCTCGTAGAAAGAATAAAATATCAATCCAAGTTGTTAGGTAAGTTTTACATTTCATTGATAAATAGATAGAGAGCGTTTGTTAATCACTCACAGGAACCACGGTCCTTCATCCCCTAGACTGACTTACGYCCTGGGTACGAATCATTAAGAATATAGTCGACAAACGCCAACATAACGTAATAGCTGTTCCTTGTACTACTTACGTGGACTTAGTCTTCCAATGTCCTGTTACGTGATGGTTGCTATCATTACTGGGTGTTGGACTCGCCACGTCAGTCGGACTGGAGGGGTCGTCTAAAATACAACAACTTTTAGCTGACAGCGGCAAATTTCAAGTATTCGTTTGGATTTTGATGGTTAAAATGTCGTATCTTTCTATCAGAGATTTTTAAATAAAAAGGAAAATGGTTTCTTGTCAAATGGGATAATATAATGGCATATCACCTTTTAAATCTCGAGGTGGCTTGTCCCGTTTTCCATACGACCAGTCGGATTCTTCAGTCATGGAGTTTGTAGACAGTCGGTCTACMAGACAGGATTCCTTGTTCAGGTTTTGAAGTGAATACGGACATCCAAACGTGCTGTGATGACTAGAATACTTAGCACCCTTCACGTGACCAATCCCTTTACATCCTGGGGTGGGGCAGGCAGCAGACGATATCTTATCGGCACGAGCTTAACGAGCAATAACAAACATTTTAGCAAAGAAGGCAATAGGTAGCGCCTAATTACCATTAATGGCAAAGATAATTCAAATAGATATTTTCGATGTATGGYGTATTAYAAATAGCGATGACGTACTTAATGGAGGCTCAAGTGGGTGTCCAGTCTTTTCACAGTAGCTCACGGGGTGAAGTTCTGTGGAGTCAGCGTCATACCATTCATCGTAGATGTCATCCCATCCATCAAAGTGTAGCTTGACTTTGTACTCTTCCACATCAACAACAGTTGCAGCTCTGATGAGSGACGGATTTCGCTTGTCCACGGCTTCGAGTTTTTGGCCTTGCTTGTATCCAGGCACGAACCTCTRAAAATATGAAAAAAACGTATAAGAGGTGTAAGCTAGAGAGAAAACTCACCGCAACCTGTACATATAGGGTCGTAGCTGGGAGAAGGCACCAAAGGTTTGCACGCACCCTTCCCATTAAAAGATCCGACCAGAGGTAGGCCGGGGGGACCTGAACGGCTAAAAATAATCTRCTAACCTTTTTAAATAACTCTGGTGGGGCTGCAACAGCACCAGTTGTCTTTAAATACTCGTCCCATGTAAACGTATCCACTTCATCATCTGCAGACATGCCAACAATGCAATTATAAAGAAAATGATTATATTGACGGAAAGACTGAAATGTTGTTATGGAATGGGGATGCAAATACATAACAAAAAATCCATACATGAACATATTAAGGAAAGAAGAAAGCAAGAGAAAAAGAGAAAAAAAGTCAAAAGGAGAGGAGAGAAAGGTCAGGACAGGAMAGGAGAGGAGAAGACTGGTAATTCCTGTCATACCGTTTGGTGGGTTAAGTTTTCCTCCGTTCGCTTCGCACCATCCAATGGGRTGAATATACGGACAATCCTCTTCACACCAGTAATCATAAGTATCATCCCATTCATCAAAATGAACCAGGAAACGGTTTCCAATCACATTTGTTACCGTGGCAACACATATAAGGTCAGGATTCTTACGGTCAATGGCTTCCAGCTTCATGCCGATCTCAAAACCGTGTCTTTTGTGTGAAACCTGAAGATGAAAATATGTTAGTGTTTCAGTGCAATTTTAGTGTTCACATGTTCTTTTCTAAGAATATCATATGTTCATTAAACACGTGCAAGTATACTACAAMGTAATCGCTAACATAAGCAAAAAAACAAAGAAAACACAAATGAATGACTTGTAGTCAAGCACAAGAGCAAAGAAGCGGTCGACGCAATTAGTACAAGCGCAAGCTACCATAAGACAAAATGGTAAAATYGGTAAAAGAACATTTAACAAAGAAAAACCACTTAGTCATATTTTCTAAGATGCCACTGAGAAGGCTTTTTCAGTTTCTTCCTTTTGTATCGTGAATTGTGAAAAATCAGGCTTGAGTCGTGCTTTTAAGCACCGTTTGCAGACAAAACAAAATAATTGTCATCGCGTTCAGAATGACTGAGCGGTTTGAGCAATTTAAATTTGAACAAAAGAAGCYCTGATTGACCAATATAGGGAGAYCACTAATGTGTCTATTTGGAACAAAGAAAAACAAACTATTTTAGGTTTGCTATCAAATCTCAGGTTTAAGACCTCCTCCACACTAGATGATGACGAAGAAACAATAGAYATTTGATACCTAAACGTCTGATAGGCGAACATATAGCTAAAAGCCCTMAAATCGGGTGACTTTTTGATAAACAAGGATACTGCGGCTGTGCAAAACGCACACGCACCGCATGATATCATCTCTGACATATTGACTGGCGACTCGAAAACACGACCCACCCACCGAGATAAAAGAGACGTGTGCGTCATTCCTGCTCGARGGCGATACCGTTGACATTAAAAAAGGGRRARAAAACTCTTTGATAGACTTGTGTACCACCGCATTTGTTGTAAAATATAGAGAAAAGAATAATGCATAACGGCAATTCAATCTCACCGTTTTAAAAAGATGACTTGGTACTCCTGAAGCATTTTGCTCAGCCAAATAACTTTGGTACGTAAACTCAGATTTAGGCACCCCTGAAAGAAAGAAAAAATAAATGGTTTTGTTTGTTTATTCATGTTTTTTCGTATTTTTGCTGTTGCTTCGGAATGATGCTTTTCTGCAGAAGTAAATGGATCTGGGTTTTTTTTTATCTTTTATTTATTTTTTTTATTTTGACATTCTATTTCCTTTCTTCTTTCAACGCTTTCATATATACATTTTTTTTTTCATTGGTTGATTATGCTCTCTAGTTATTACATATTTTTTCTTCCCTCAGCACTTTTCCCTCAAAATTCCGAAGACTTTCATTTTCAACATACAAACAATTCATAAGATTTTATTCCCAATTTCTCATCTCGTCAAATTTCATTTCACTTTAAGTCTGACATACCTCTCGGAGCACTAATTGATTGGCCATTTTTCTCACACCATCCAACTGGGAAAATCAACGGCGAGTCTGCGTTAGTCCAGAAATCATAGCTCTCTGACCAACCATCGAAATGAAGACGAAGTCGTGCTCCTCTGACTCGTACCACGGTGCACACACATATGTAAGAAGGGTGCCTCGGATCAATGGCTTCCACTTTCATTCCTCGGAGAAAATCAGGGCAAGGCTTTGGGAACATGTTGAGTTCGGGATTTTCCTATACAATTAACAAAATTTAYATGATCAGTCATTCATTCGATTGGATCATCCATTTTATTTAACTATTCGAGTTTTCATTCATTTACTAATTTCTGAAATGCCTGTACCTGCTGAAAGACGCTGACAGGAACAGCCTTGGCGTTACAAGCATGTAGATAGTCTACCCAAACAAATGGCTTACTTGAATCATAAGGAACTAGAAGAGGAATATCAAAAGATAAATAACATTCATGGCGGAAAATCCATAATTGCATAATGAAAATATAACGCACTCATATACTTTGTACTCTGACGTAAAGAAACATTCTGGTTTTACGAAGAATGGGCAAAGTTATCATTTCCATAGAACATGGATTTTATATTTGCTGGATTAGTGGATAGCGCTATTTCGCCCTTCGTACAACCGGCTTCTGATTGGCTGTCAAGAACAGCTACTAAGTGACGTATTGCCAATAGGGGCGTATAAAAATTTTCCTACCATTTTTCTTCCAGTACTAAAACGTTTTCAGTGTCTTCCAGTTTTCACAGAAACATCTCGTCAACAAAGGTAAAATCAATACTTGTTTTGACCAATTTTATCCTGTCTTTAATATCCTGTACTGATTCTCACCGTTATCTGTTGAGGCCAAGCTAGCAGCATCGAGTTGAATYCGCTTGATTTTCTTTTTAGTCCCTTTGATCTTTTTGATAGTCACAGGTCCACTGACAACTTTGTTAACCTCTTGTTCAGTTAACTTAACTTCTGAGCTTTGACTCGATTCTCCTTGTGTCTAAAGTTTGTAATAAGATATCTTAAATATTATTTTCGCRATGCATACGACTTTTTGTTAGACCTTTTGAAGCAAAACTCGTTGACCATGCATGATKTCGATAAAACAACGTTTGGTTTGACTGACCTCTGCCGAAGGTTCCGTGACGGGAGCTTTCTTCTTTCTCTTCTTAATAATCTTGCCATCTAATGTTTTAACATGACGGACAAACTCTCTGCCTTTATTTCGTCTCCCCGTRTACTGACCAACACACTTGAGACTACAAAAACGACCCGACGCAGAAAAGTCTTTTGGCATTCCATATTTACCACAGACTTCACAACAAAGTACTTTAGTAGGATCAGTTATTACTTTTCGTGAGTCGCTTTTTTTAGATTTGACTGTAGTAACTGAGAAACAAAAAGAATGACATAAGCTTAAGTTTAAGAGACGGAAAAAGCGTTGGAAGATTGATTCAGGAATGAGAAAGGGTTTAAAAAGGCACAAAAAGAAGGAAAAAAGTGATATTAATGTCATTAAATACAAACCCTATACAGTAAAAAACATTACGTATCAATATTGAATCAATTAGAATTTAGCTTTCCAGGCATTTCATTTTATATCTGAAGTGCTATGGCACTCAAGTATTTCAAAAATATAATGTAGCCACTCTTCGCACACTTGTCTTTGTCCTCAAAAATACAGCTGGATTAAGAGCCSTGAGCAAAGTGAAGCAAATCACCAGCTTAGCAAGTGCTTTTTTTCTTCTTGAGAGCTATTCTTTCCTTACTGAGCTAATCTCTTTAAGCCCTTCTCATGGAGATATCCTGGGTTTTTCCCAAGAGGGTGCACCAATAGTGGATGATGGTAGAAAAAGACCTTGATCTATCACAAGAGGCACAGGCCAAGGTGCGTAAGTTGGGAGAAAAGGGGGAAGCCAATGCACCCAATGAACCCCCCTGTAAGCTACTATTATGAGCGATTGCTTGCTTCGCCTTTACAGAAATGGAATTGCCGTCAATAATTGCATGCATTATGAGATAAGAAGTTCTATTAATATCAGGTACAATTTGCAGCAAGGGTGCATGGTTTAGCAGCTCAGGTGTTTTATGTCTGAGCGTTTGGCATTAATAATATTTGAGTCGAGTATGATACATTCCTCTCTCCCTCGCTAGAGGGGTTTTTCTTAGGTACAATAGTCCCCCTTTCTCATCAGATAAATTAACCTATCAGAATTGAGCGTTCAACACTCCAATTCACAGTTCTTAGTCCATATTGAAAGGTAGCTGAGCCTTTGCATCAAAACAAGACACTAGTTGAGCCTGCAATGATAGATACCTTTTGTTCACACCCAATAATCATTCACAGGTATCTATCATTGCACACTCTTCTCTTACTTGCTTACATTACAAACTAAGGCTCAACTACCTTTCAAGATTACAATGACAACAGTTAAATAGAGTATTTGAAATACTAAATAGAGACTGTGGGCATGACAGCAGTTACACCTGCTGACAAGGAACCACAAGTCTATTCTGTATTCTCACGGGTACAAGACAATATAATATTACCTTCTTGGCTCTTTTTTATGACAGACACTTGGTTACTGGTAGTTTCTTTAGGTTTTGCTGGTGAGCTTGMTGTTTCCTGCTTTGTTTGATTAGATGGACTCCATTCAGATTCTCCTTTRTCTGTTGAAACTGTGCTGACTATTTCCAGAGTTCCAAATTCAGTCATTTTGAACTTAAGGTCACTGCCTGTGAAGGGAAGTCGATGATATAGATCAGTATATACAGCAGAAAGATAGTATAATTATTTCTCARCTATGCTAAATGCTAGCTAGTCTTATTTAATTTGGAAGTGTTGTTTATATCCACATTCAACACTAATGTTTTATTCATCTGTGTTGTAGGTTTACTAYAATGTTCTGTAGACAATAATACTAGCATTGATACTATATCTATTGATACATCACCATCATCTAATAATAACCAATGATTGATTGATTGATTGACTGATTGGTGGATTTATTATCTGACTGCTTCCTTGTTTGATCACTTATATAACTGATTGAATAATTATCGCTTGATTGATTGATCTACTGATTAAAAATTATTCATTGATTGATTATTTGATTGACTGGTGACTGATTGGAAGCATGTCTTAATTGCTAACAAAAGCTCTTATCTAGAGCACTACTCCATACATTAGTTATGTACATCAAATGCACTTCTACACAAGTAAGGTAAAGTTATTCTCCAGTTAAAGTGATCTATGCCTGATTTTATTTACTAGTTTATGATTTTCTAGTGGACAATGCCATAAACCCCTGTACAACTTCTGTTGTTTTTTTAAATCTTACTGAGAAGGCATAAAAATTCATGATTAAAAACTCTGCATGGATTACCATAAAAATCATCCATCCTTACATATACTGATTCATGCTGTGACAATTAACCATAAAAATAATAGACAAAAATAGAGAAGAAAATTAAATGTCATGCAGGGCTTATGGAGAAAAAAGGACAAATATGACAGTAACCACCAAAAGTAAGGCAAGACAAATTCTCTTCCTTGTCAAAATAATCAGCATTATCACTTGAAGTGCTATCACAGAAAAAAACGAGACCAATTTTCAAAAAGAAGACCATCCTAAAAACTAYAGCTCAAGGGTCTGCGACTTCAATACTTTGTGTTTTCTTTATTTTTTTGCTTTGTGATTTATATGCTTAATATATAACTATTATAATCAGCCTTTAGGTAGCCAATATTACAGAATTCATAAGACCTTCATCATCCTTGTCCTTCTATAAATATCTTTAATTTAAAACCTGTTTTAAATCAGTATAAATATTGAGGGATATACCTGGTAGTGAAGCAATACCATCTTTCCAGTCAAGGCCAGCAAAACCATCATCATCAGTAGTACCATCAGCTTTACTTTCCTTCTTAACAGGCTTATTATCTGACTTCCCACTATCAATGACTGGCTTCAAATCTTTGTTGTTTGGACTACTACTACTATCATTATTAGTCACTGGTACACTTGGTATGTCTGGTTTAATACTATTGGTTTCACTTTCTGTTTTCTCTGGTGACAGCTTGGTCGGTGTTTTGGTGGTGTTGTTTAGATTTGCAGTAACATCTTGTGCATTGTCAATCATGTTTTCATCCTTTTTGAAAGTTTTCCCTGGGAAACAAACAGAAATGATTTATTGACTGAACTCTAAATCTAAATGTTTCTACTTATTTCTTGCATTAGAATCTTTTCTGATTATCCTTAGTTCGAGATTGCAGATCTGTTAGACTTAAATTTGTAGATTTACATTAGGCAACATAAGATAAGCCGCAGAGGATGCAAAACATCCCTGGCCATGACGACCTGGCTTATTACTCTTCAATCACTAGCTAGAGGTACCTTCAGTTACCATAAGGACAATCTGCACTCATCTAATTAGAAGATCCATAGCTAAAGACAGTCATTCATTTTATCCTACATATTCAGCTATTTTAAAAACATGGCCATTGTAAACCTTGTGACTATCATACTGCCCTGTATGGTCTAATCTTTGTCTTTGAACTGCAGGCAATTAACCTGTGTATTAACTCTACATGCTATATTATTCTGGTGCAATGTCTTTAGCAAAGAATTCAGCAGTTTGAGCCTTTGCTCCATTAAATAYACTTATTCTGAAATGAACCCATCCATGCATTCTACTCCAGCAAGTAAAATGCCCAATATATACTCTGAGCATTCAACTTCTTTTAATCCCATAATAGTTTTAGAATCAATAACAATTAATAATTAATTTAGATAACATCTTTGCTAAGTATWGGTCCGAATTCATTACCCTGTTCATTGAGGATTGGTGCTGAATTTATAGCGTCATCCCCTCCATCAACTTCAATTTTACTTCTTTTGATAGGAGGTTCYATTYTCTCCATATCKGATGAGCTGGATATCCTGTCATGTTGGACACTGGTGTTAGTTGCCACYACTTCTGTCTCCATCCTCCTGTAATGATAAACTAGAAATAAGACTAATTTTATTTAAAATAATACTTAAATATACAACACTTTGGTAAACTGCATCGTGTATATTCCTTGTTTTACAATATACCATATCAGCAGCATAATGTTTCATGCCTCAAGACGTCTTATCTCTCAATATCTCAAACCTCAAAAACCAAATCAAAACTACAGATATTTTAGAATCAACTGCGAAATAGTTTTATTTGTGTGAGGTAAGTACAATTCCTTCTATGCTAATCTTAACAAAGTCATTTATCATCAGTTAGATTTATCATCAGTTAGATGTTTTAATATGAATCAATATTAATAGATGAATAAAAAGAGTTCAGTTTAGCTAGTTTAGCTRTACTATGTAAGTCCTATACAATTCTTATTATATTACATTTCTATTGATAATTTATGCTTTTTTTAAACTGGATTACATACAGTCACAATACAAGTGYTATAGACAATTTAGCTCACACTGTTTTGCTAGAATTTAAAGCAAGATTTGATCAATATAATACCAATTCCACTACTTGAATCCATAAGGTGAATTAAGAATTAACCACAAACAATGTTGCCATTCCAAGACCTTATCACTTAATGTACAGTCAAAAYATAGTACAACATAATCTTTAGAAATCACTATATCAACTATAACAACAACAACAACACATATTTCAATAGACAAGTGTCAAACTGCATATAATTATCTCCTTTAACGTCTGGTTTAAAGGTTCAACTGAAAATCCATTTTGCCTTTTAACTGCAAGCAAGATCACATGAACGTGATATATATTTTATCTTAYTTGAATGAAGCTAAAGTTAATCAAATCAAAAGCATAAGAGGACAGATGGGTGTTAGAAAATATTCAACTGAATGATAAATATTGATATCTTTAAAATTATAATCATCAAATCCCAAGAACTGTTAATAACATTGCTGCATTGATATCAAAATAATCATCAAACGTCAAGAACAGTTRATATCTTTGCTGCATTGGTGAATTTTAAGATGACCATCCCAAAAACAAGATTTTTAACAAAATGTAGGTATAATATAATGGACTATAAATTAAAAAAGGTAGCCTTACCAGAAGCTGTTAAAATGATGATCTTAATATCTACAATCAGAAAATCCAAAAATGTTTTCAATGGCATAAAGATAAAAACTGTTATAGAGAACTAGAAAAACACAAAGCAAAAAATAAACATGGAGTTCAAAGCTTTCATAATGAATGATTTGTCTTAAAAAAGTCAAAATGCTTGTAGAATTAATGTCTCATTCATGCATTATAATTGGTAAAAGAGATTTTGCTTTGGAGTATCAAAATATCCAGTTGAAACACTGAAACAACACAGAAACATTGTATATACTATAAAACTGATGGGTTMCATAAATAGGGTTTCACCCTTCTAAACTGTTTTATTTGACCAGAAAACATTTGTTTGAAGARAGCATTAGCACATAAATTTTAACAAATATCTTGCGTTGCAGGTACTAAAGGTACTGAACCTGCTCATTTTGGACCATTTTATACCATTAAAAAACTACACTATTTTATASTTTGACAGAATGCACAGAATCAACTAATTGATAGATGGATTGTGTGACTATTCWRWKGTGKGCAAATTGATAGTATATTTTGTTTTCTTCAAAATTTATTCTTTTTTCAATTTTTGTAGATTTGTACTTATGCACAATACTTATTTGTACAGTAAAACCTTCAGCTTATTTATTTTTCMTTTTAGAWAGCGTAGTTATCTTAAGGGAAAAGATATAAGAGCATTAAATGATATTTTTTCCAAAGGATGTCTACACGATGTGTAAGTCTTGTCTTTTGTGGCATTGCCAGGTGTTTCTTTGTTCAAAGTCACGTGATATGCTCTCTCCACATGTCCTTTGGTGAAAGTTTTTCAAAACCAAAAACTTTACCAACGTCGCAAAAGCATATCAGATTGTCGAACAATCAASTAYATATTATGACCCAATCATTTTTTTYTYTCTTTAGRATWAAAAGCTACAAATATACGTAAACTTTGCATTATTATGTCATGGATCAATAGCTCAATGTTTCAGAGATCGAACGTGAATTTGGATGAGTTTTTCCGACCTTTTTTTCTATTATATTTGTCGTTATGAGTGGATTTTTTTTCCTTCGCTGTTGCCGCCCTCTTTCCTTTTATTCTAATTTATCCCCAAAAGCTATGAAAATGTACTAGCTCATATTAATCGGCCTTTGTTGATTGTACTAGTACTGTTTTGCATTTGGAAACCGAAAGACTGTTGTACACATTCCGAAATTAATTTTTGAGGTGGTTGTCTTAGTAATTTCATGTCGCGAGGACCCAAAAAAATATAACTCCAAATGAATAACGATCGATTGATAAACACGTTGAATTATAGAAGGCGTGATACTCAGGGATTCAGCGGAGAACATATACTAGCTTTTTCGGATACTTTCTGCGTTCAYGAGCGTACGAAATTTCCCAAAAAACACCAGTTACGTCAAATAAACAGTTTCTTCCGTGATGAACATTATTTATCGTACAAAAAAATTAAGGTGAAAAWCAGCGGACTGCAGATATTTGAATTTTTCGCCTTTTTGCTTAAATTAAACCGAATGGTTTGGATATTTTATTATTTGCTTCGGCCTMTATAGTCAACGCTTTCTTATGTGAATTAAATTCCCYAGAAAGTACTCTTTAATACCATGAAAGACATTGTTTTTCGCTTTTGGTTTTTCCCTCATGTCATAAAACAAGACATTTCCTCGTCGTATCGTTAGTAAAACACTAAGCGAATTAACTCCTTATCGACAGAGAAAATTCAAACACGTTAAAAAAACCCACTAACATGAATTTGAATTTCGACATCTCAAGATATCCTACTTTTGAAAAATTCAATTTAATCTTTAGAACGAAATTAATGTATATTCCGTAACCAGCCCGTGTTGTAGGTGCCAAGGCAAAACCAAAATCCTTTCTACATCGTCTAGGGAACTGTGTTAAATTTCTCTACGTTTTGCATTGTTTTTGGCTGTTAATTTACACTTATGAAAATAGATACGTCTTTCCTTACAACATTCTGTGGCTACTTGTAAAAAAATATGTCTTCTGTGGCCGCGAAAACTTGGTTTATTTACCGAGATCGGTGTTAGCACGCTTCAAGTGTTTTACCGGGTTGAGAATATTCAATCAGTTTTATTATAATTTAAGTTTCCTTTCACGAAAGACTCCTTCTGTTGCCGCTGTTGCGATCTTAAGTTTAGAAAAACCCTTTAAATGCTGTGTGACCTTTACTCGAGGTAAAATCAAACAGCAGTTTCYCTTAAAATTCACGAAAGCCATCGTTTGAAGATTTTGGCTATACTTGACCTCACTTCCATGTACAAGTCAGTGTACTTCTTCTTTCCCTCAGAWTCTMGTGTAGTTTTCAGTGTTATTCTGCAAAGTACTAGCTCTGCTGCTTCCCTACCTACTCTCATGTACTCTTTGGAACCTAAATTCTCTCTAAACAACCTAAGAATGCCCTGTCTGGCGAAGCAGTTGTTTAAAAACAAAGTTAACTGTTCAGTGAAAGTGACAAATTTCTAGCCATTGCTTCACATCCTGTGGAACATTAACTATGAAACAACCCACTTTTGAAATAACCCAGAGAACGTGAATTTCAAGCCGAATTTGTCACCAAAAGAACGTTTAACTCTTGGGTTACCCTTCTGGGGTGTTTTGGTTTAGATATGTAGAGGATAACCTTTCCAAAACAACATTTCTAAATCCTTACCAGTCGAGAACTGATTTCACCCAACACTCTTCCCTGCAGAAATGAATTTGAGAAACAATAAGATCGCTTGCCGTTTATCTCGACTGCCAATCACATGCCAAAGAACAATTGAACCACGTGATGAAACCCTATTATTATGCAAAACCACCGGAATCTTTCCATAAGACCAGAATTTTCAATTACTAGTTTTAGAATCGAGTTTCTTACTTGACTATAGCGTTTTTAGGAATTTTCTTGGTATTTTTAGATAGTTGAATATCTATTCTTGCTGTCTGTGGTGTTTTACATTGAGGAAATTGATCGAAGGTTGAATATTTTCCGCGTTGAAAAGCGCTTGACCGAAAGTTCCTTCAATTACAACCTTTACGTCACAAAGCGAAGACCTAATGGTTTTGATTAGTCGACAACCACAGGGTTTTGAAATAAAAACAACATAGCTACCATTCAAAAATAGGAATACCAGCCGATATTCTTAGAAAACCAATAAGCTATAAAACACATCCCAACAATTGGTTTTAGAATGATATTATTCGCAGATTAAACACATTCTCTCAACTGAGCCAAAAAATTGACACTGTTTACTTCGAAAAGACACTTTCCACCATTGAATTTCAAGCCAAACATGAACTCAAGGCAAAAATAACAAAGACCATAGCATTTTTTCACTACATCTAGGTATTTCTACAGACTATATAATGGTTAAAACTCCCGAGGCGACTTTCAACTTTTTATAAAAAGGCCTTTACTATCTGAAAAGCTTCCAAAACGTTCAAACTGCGCTTGAAAACTATGCGCTCCATGTTTAGAAATCATAATAGTGCTTCTGAATTCTGTTTTAAAATGCAAGTTGAAATTCCTAGTGCTTTCGCTTTTATTCTTCTGCAGTGTAATGTTTCAATCTTGTGATTTAATCATGATTGAAACATTTTTTGTTGCGGAGGGTTTGCTCATAGTTTTTTTTTTGCTTTATTTTTTCTCCTGCTACGGTTATACGATTCAATGATGCGTGGCCCCGCCGCTTTACCAATGTTTGGCTAGCCGATGAGATTTTATGCCATCTACATACAGTACTGTACTATTTCAGTTCTTTATTGATCGAAGACAGCAAAAAATACTACAGTAAACGACATGACAAAAGTAAAAATCAATTCTCGTCAATTGTTTTTAGTAACTTTGCAATATTTAACACGAGCACACAAAACCTGTGAGACTAAATAGAGCTCTAAAACGAATAAAAGATTTTAGTCAGTCCTAAGCTCGATTGTGTACATCATCAACGTTTCAAAACAGTGTAAAGGTTTCAAAAATAAGAAAAGGCTTTGTTTTGGCGGTTGCGGCAAACACCCTTGAAACTAAAAAAATATATTTCTTTCTCTTTTTATAAAACTGGAAAACATGATAAGAAAAATAATTGAAAAATAATAATAATGAAAGGCTTTATAAGCGAGCTAAAATCCATAGCGTAATGTTTATTCCTTCACAGTTTCGACTAGTGGAGCAAAAAACAGAATCGTCATTCAATACCGTGTATAAATTATACGTTGTCTTTAAGGTGAACTCGCTGTAAAATCCCACAAAATACGTGATTATTTTATCMAAATTCTTATAATTCATTTTATTACCTCGGTTTTTGGATCGAAAAGGCATGAATTAAAAAAGAAAAGCAGTGAAAAAAATGGACTTGTGATTCGCATTTAGCTTTTTAGGTTTTCTTGTTTATCAATGGCTRTAGTATTGTTTGCTCGTACTCCTACCAATCTGCAGAGCTCAATCTGTGTTAACTACCATCATCATTAACATTATTTGTGTATTTTCTTTCGAAAGAAAAATATCGCACAAAAAATATCAAGTGGTCAAACACTATTGTCTTTGAATATATATTTTCCTTTCTTCGATGTTTTCTTGGCACGTATTTAATTCCATATCTAAAACAAACCCGGTTATCTTTCAATGGAAGCGAAAACAGACCTTCTTAAGTGAAAGGTGACTTGAGCGTTTATTAATAAAGACAGATTTTCCATCGGTTGTTTTGACAGATCTGTTCSCGTACGACTTGTAAATTCAAATTAATATTTGAATAACACATAGGTAGGTATATACTTTTGATAGATCACTGCTATAATGGGAAAATGGCAGGACTCAATCGAGAAATATTTACTCCCTTTTAAAATAAAGATAAAATAAATTGAGAATTGAAAAGAAAATTGAATCAAAAACGTCCCATTAAAAATCTCTTTGGCGTTCTTATATTTTGRCTATTATAAGCTAAAAACTATGATAAAAATCAAGAAAGTTGCATGACCTTAGGGTCTAACAATAAAGTATCTTGTAAGGAAATTGAAATATGTGACTACAATTTGTCAGAAAGAGCWATCGATCAAGGTCGACGTGAAAATGAGATTGTCTAAGTTGATATTTGTTATTTTTACGGCAGTATCTCTTTACCAGCCCCTCCCTAAAGCATGAAGGTAMGTCTACCTATGACACGAATAATTTACGATTCAGTTTATGGCTGAAATATACGTCTACAAAACAAATAAGCTCATTATATTCTAAATGTTGCATCCACAATATAAATTTTTATTTATGTCCATTTTGTGTTATGGAGTTACGATAAAGTTATGATTTTTCATCAGGTTTTTTTTTCTTTCTTTTTTTCTTTTTGTTTACATGTTTTCTTATTGTGAAAGTTCTTATCAGTAAAGTGCGCTTTGCCAAGTTCACAAAGCTAAAGTTTAAGCCGCTTTTTTTAGCAATCACGATACGCTGCACGTTCCCTGGCTCCCGACAGAGTTTCAATTTTATGCTCTTAATTTTTAGTGAGCGAAGAAAGAGCGAAGAAAGGGGGTAAAGTTGAGTCTCTCAGAGCCAGTACAGAGTACATTGCTAGCTCAAGTATCAAGTATCAAATCTAGCCCATTGGGACCTCTTGACTKATTTTTTTAAACCTTTTCTTTATACCTGAACTTGAAACGAGTAAAGCACTAAAGAAACGCGCGTTCTCTAAAGCGAGGTCAGCCGGTACATAATCTCATAAAGCCTAAAATTATAATTTCAATGYAGATTTCTATTCAAAAATAGACAAGAAGTTGACTGTACACTGCGCATATTATTAGGAATAAAACAAAAGAAAAATATTACTGATAAAAAGAACCAAAATGGTAAAAAAAAAAGCCTACAAATATGTGACTGCCAATGTCACTGACAATTTTACGAATCAAAAACAAATGCAATAGTCAAAGCAAGTGTTAGTGGAGCTCAAAAACAGAGATAAAGGTGTAAAAACATAAACAATCTCCTAGAACCTTGAAAACTGGTGAGTTTTATTAGAGGACTTGCATGTAACATCAATAAATAATAATTATTAATTARTTAYATMAYTGGAAATCGTTAAAGCTTAAAACTCATGTATTTTTATGTAAAGGAGAGCAGATAATAGTCTACAGCCACGTGATTACAACGTAGTTAGATAATCGTTTTGCTTTCGCCTTATTTTTTGCATGCTCGCCACCATATTGAATAAGAGAACAGCTAATGAGGAACTTAATATACAGTCAACCCCATTAGCGTTATCCACTTGTAAAGACATAAAGTCAACAACAAAAAATCATTTGCATATACCATATWTTTAACCTATTTGTTGCAGAATATTTAATCAATATCAAGTTGAAAAAATTTCAATACAATGCAGATAAAATTTACTAGTATTCTGGTATTTTATATAATGTTGTAAATTCGAATTCCTTTCTTAAAGAGTTTTAAATGACTAAGTTTCTTTTTTTTTAATGTCTTTTTAACTTGGCAACCTTTTCGGTTAAAATTRTCAACATGCTGGCTATGACGTATTAAACTAGACTGGTTTCGTAAAGATGACGTACATAACGTGCAAGCCAAGAATTTGCAAAACGGTGAAAGGAAACAGAGAGTATACCGTGGTCTTTAATTAAAATCTTGAGTCTGTTGTTTTCGGTTAGAATTAACATGGACCGCGGAGCAGGGGGGSTKGGGGGCTACAGACCMGCCAATAATTTTTATCGACATTTTGAATTTTCCGCGCGGTCCCTGATTTATACGGGGAACCCATTGCAAGAATTCTATGGATAGAGAATATGACATCGTGAACACCATAAATACACATTTCCATGCTTCGAAATAACAACAAACCCGAAATTATCAGCTATCAGAGAAGTAGTTATTCGATACCATGACCTATCAATCTTCGGTTTCCCTCAAGACATCCCATAATTTCTTTGAAATTCAAGATGGCGGCAATAGTTTATAATGCTTTACGTATTAAACGACGATTTATGAGTTGTTAGTATTGACTACTATTCAATAGAATTAAATTATGAGAAGGAAAGTTTGTTGAMTACCAGGAACGCTGCCCTGTTAAACGCTGCTTTTCCAGGCAGCTCGATTCGTTCTTCCTTCAGTCATTATCTAGAGCAATACAGAGCAACACTCCCTATCAAAGCTTGGTTTTGATTGAGGGAAGAACGCTAAATTGTAATGACAAGGAAAGAAACAAACAGTCGAGAAAAGAACAAGAGGTATTATATCAAAATCAATTTAAGTCTGACCTGACTGCTGTACTACAGCGGATAACCAACCTTTTGACATTCGGCAACACTAGTATTTTTCTTGTTTTCTTCTTTTTTGATCTACTTTTTCTTTCCTTTACTCTTCTTATATTTTTCTTTCTCACAGGGGTCGAAGGCTATTTTAYGTGTTTATCGCCTGACAACAATCAAGGAGGGGTTTTCCCTGAGTTTTACCCACAATGCAGCATTARCCAGGAACGCCTTGTTGATTTTAGTTTTATCACGCAGAAAATGGCGACAAGCTTGAATGGYAAAGTTTGCKCGGTCTTTGGTGGTTCTTCAGGAATAGGTAAAGCGATATGCCAGCTGTTTGCAAACCATGGTGCTCGAGTAATTGTTATTGGCAGAAACTCTATCAAATTAACTCAAACGGCCAAGTGTTTGTACTCTGACGGTGACGAACAGCAGCATGCAAGTTTCGTTTGTAATGTAACTGACCCCGTTCTTGTACTCAAGACAGTATCACAAATAGAATCAGAACTAGGAAGTATAAACATCCTTATAAATGCTGCAGGGATTAACAAGGATTTTCTTTTGGCGAGAAGTAAAATATCAGACATAGAAGCTATTATACAAACAAACCTTCTTGGATCGATGTACACTTCAAAAGCAGTTCTTAAATCAATGATTCAGCGACGACAGGGATTTATTATTAACATCGGTAGTATTGTTGGAATGAAAGGAAATGTTGGACAAAGTGTGTACAGTGCAAGTAAATCAGGTATATATAAAAATTTTAGTTATTCAAAACATGTWCAACGTAACCACTCCCCTCCCCTCCCCATCTCACAACAAAGGGGTCAGCTGGGGGATGTCCCAAAGTGAAGAAATCAATGGTAGGATCAGAAATAGCTGAAAAAATTGGACTTAACCTATGGACTCATCCAGTTTTGGCAGGCCTTGGATTTTTCCTCATCCAATCATTTCTTAATTGGACAGCTTGGACTCATATTACCTATCAATTAATTGTATATCCCAGGGGTAGATCCAGGAGATGTGCTTTGGGTGTGGACGCACCACTCCCCTTTTTGGACACCTTAATTTTTTTATATATCAGTATAAACGTTTTTTATTGCTGTTTATACTCCTGTTGCACTTCTATTGAGACCTGCCACTATGGTGCTTAACAATCTATTTGAGTAGTGTAGTCAAAGATACTTTGTCAAATTGTGCATAATTTTCTTGCTGTCGGCACACAGCTAACAAAAATAATCAGTTCCATATTCTGCTATACTTTAGCTATATATTACTGACAAAAGCGCCCCCCCCCCCCCCCCCTATAAAATGCTTGATCCACCCCTGCATTAACATTATTCGTAGCTGCACAATTAAGAAAATAGTTGGACAGGTGTCTATTTAGGATAAATAAGTGGATATGTAATTACACATAATAATAGTGTATGTCAATGATCTAGAACAGTGTGTGTTCTTAGAAATTGTAAAATATTTGATTTGAATGTTGGTTGGTTGGAATCTGAAAATGTTTGGCGCTATGGCCCTACATAATGCTTAAATGTGGAGGAGTGCAGTAGTGCAGAAAAATGATGGACAAGAATACTTTTAAAGAGATTTCAGTGTGTCACCACCATTATCAGATTTTTATCAACAGGTCACAGGCTTGTATCTTTGTTAAGAAAGTTCAATTGTTTAGTCCAAAATAAGATGTCAGGCAAACCTCAAGTTTTACCATATACTGACTGTTGACCAACCCATGCCGTGACTTTAAATTTTTAAAATTTCCTGAAAATTCAGGAAAATACGAGTATTTTAGTTTCAAGTAAAATACTATTAACCATATAATAAAGTAACACACTTAATGCTACTTTCACTAGGTCTTGTTGGTTTTACAAAATCCCTTGCTAAAGAAGTTGCTTCTAAAAGCATTTGTGTCAACCTTGTGGCACCAGGTTTGATACAAACAGACATGACTGCTAATAGCYACACATCATACAAAGACTTGATTCCCTTGAGCAGATTTGGTGATCCATTAGAGGTGGCAAAAAGTGTTTTGTTTCTTGTTCAGTCACCATACATCACAGGACAGGTATGGAATTCTAATATAACATGGTATCATAATCAAGTAATAGTCATTCATTGTACCATAATTATAGAGGGGAATGGTTTGTTTTTGTTGTTGTTGTTGTTTTTTTTTCATACAAACACTGTTGTCACACTTTCTCACATGTGGAACTCTCTATAAAGGGTACTTTTTTCTGTTTACCAAGGGTGTCTGCTTATGGGAAATTCAGCTGTGCCTAGCTATACTACATAATTTTAGTGTTCGACTACATTACCAGGGAATCTTGAGAAGTGAAAGCAAAATAAAGTTATTGCTGCCATGTTGGATGAAAATGG